TCAACGGTGCCTTCTTTCACGGCCTCGGTGTGTGCACCGTTGGGTAACCTAACAGGACAAGGTGCAACATCATAGGTGTCGACGAGCACATTTAAATTCCMWGTCATGTGATGTGACGCCCTAGAGTCAACAATCCATTCAGTGGAGTAAGTCTTACCAGAGAGTTTTTCATTAGTCCGGGTTTTGTAAGCATCAAGCATTCTTACAAGAGTTTGCCATTACTCGTTATTAAGCCCGTTCAGTCCGGTCCTGTCTCCGTCAGTTACGGCTGCATTAGCAGCCACCTCATGCCCTACCAATGACTGAGCAGCATGAGTTTTTGCTGAACCTCGGTCACGTCCACCAAAGGGTCCACCCCCTTTTCCTCGACCTGCTCCATGCCAGGCCGACGTACCGCGGGGTCTGTCTCCCCCCCATTCAGACTTACTTGAGCTCTCACCGATCCTTTCGTTGTTGGCAGCCATGGTAGCCGGTCAGCAAGATTCGTCCGAGCTGCTTAATTATTGCAAGAAACACGTAGATGGACGATCCTAATGAGACTCACGAAGAAATCAGAACAAGTGATTCCGCCGATTCCGAGTCAAACCCGAGCTCCTGTCTGGTTTCCTCCGATCCCGCAACGCCGAGCGAAAACTAGGCGTCGTCGAAGCGGAAGGACCAAGAAGCTTCCTTACTATGGCAGCGGGAGTTCGAGCGAACAAAGTAGACTGAAACCTGAACAAACTGTGGAAAGATGGCTGCGGGAGTTCGAGCAACTTAAAACAAACGAAGAAAAACCACAGAAGATGCCATAGTCAATCAGCGAAGCAGTAGAGAACGAAAACCAAGAAGATGGGAAGAAGCCACCAGAGTCAATCAACGAAGTAGCAAAGAACGAAAACCAAGAAGATGGGAAGAGGCCTACTCTGTGGAGAGTCTAAAAAAATGAAATAAATAACAGAGCACTCCCCTGCCTCACTCGCACTTTAGTGCTGGTATCAGAAATCGTCGCCTTTTCTTTATCCATCAACTCAAGGATGCCAAGCAGAGTTTCTGGAGCCCTTACTCAGGACTGGGAACCAGCCGTCCTGCACAAATCCAAGCCCAATGCCCTGGCCCTTGAGATCCCAAAGTCATGAACCAGGCCTTGCGTTCCGGAGCAGCGGTTCAGACGGTGAAGAAGTTCGACGCGAGCTCGAATAAGAAACCGGCGACGGTGGTGAACACGAGGAAACTCGACGAGGTAACAGAGCCTGCGGCGCTGGACAAGGTGTCGACGGAGGTGAGACAGGCGATACAAAAAGCGAGGGGAAGATAAATGCTTCGGATGGAGCTCCTCTAGGAACTGGGACTCAGAGTCGTCGATAATAGGTTGTGGTCGGAACAAGATCTGCAGCCAATAACCGTCGGTCGCGCAGCGAACAGTAATGCTGGCTCTGATACCATGAAAAATTTCGAAAACCTTATATCCCTCATTTTCATTGATATCTTATGATATATATACAAATTCGATCATGTCTTTCCTAATCTAAAAAGGAAATGCAGAGCTTTCTAAAACTTCTAAATCCTAACTGTACAGTGAATATACAAATTCGGGATGAGGGTGAGGATGAACCTTCAAATCCGGGATGAAACCTGATGGTGATACCTGCTGGTTGACGCAATCATAATTACTTATCTCGTGTTCATAACCCTATTTAAAAATCCCCAATGAGCTCACCGAAGTAGTATATATTTGGAGCAGGCAGAAGGCAATTGTGGGTTCATAGTGAGTACTTGTTTGATTAATTAATCACATATATAGTTAGAATGGAAATCAAGAGAGATGAGATAGAGCTTTTTGAGATGCAGAGAATGCAGAGGCTTCGGAAAGCAGCCTTGGAAGGGAGTGTGAACTCCTTGCACGGATTGCTTGAAGAGGACGAGCTCATTCTCCATAGAGCCAGTGTGGCTTGTCCCACTGAAACTGCTCTGCACATAGCATCTGTGCTGGGTCACGTCGATTTCGGTAGAGAGCTTCTCTGCTGCGAGCCTCGGCTTGCTACCCAGCCTGACATCCGACGGCGACAAACACCCCTTCACTTGGCCTCCGCAAATGGGCATCTTCAGCTTGTAAGAGWGCTGCTCATTGCCAATCCAGAAGTTTGTTTTGCTCGGGATCGGGATGGCAACACCCCTCTCCATCTGGCAGCGATTCAGGGCCGAGTGGAGGTGGTAAAAGAGCTGGTTCGGATGAGACCCCAAGCGACCCGGATGCTTGTGGATCGTCGGCAGACCATCCTGCACCTCTGCGTCAAGAATGATCGCTTGGACGCCCTAAAGCTGTTGGTGAACTCAACTGGTGATGATTATGAGTTCGTGAACTCCAAAGATGATGATGGCAAAACAATCCTGCATCTTGCAGTCGCTGATCGGCAGATTGATGTAAGACTTTCATGCTTCCCTAACTTTGGTTTGATTTTGGTTAGACATCTATGACGTTTAATTTCTTCCGAGATCAATAATATTGCTCAGAGTGCGTAACACTCCTTTTTATGTTTAGGGCAATTTTGGGGTTTAATATAAAAAAAAAGTAATATATTTAAAAAATTTTCAAAAATAGGTTAATTTTTCAAAACATTATTCTTCTTAATTACTGTTTGTTCACCGTCCGCCGCCGCCGCTCGTTGCCGCCTCCGCTCACCTCTGCCTTTACCTTCGGCAACGTTGCTAGAGGTGGCCGGAGGCAGATGTGGCGGCGGCGCCGGTGGTCATTCCTCTATCCGCTGCTGCCGCCACTACCACCTCTGCGCAGCGGCGGATGGCGGCTCTGGTGAATAAATGGCAAGAAGATGAATAGTATTTTTGTGTTTTGTTGATATTATTTTTTAAAATTTAACCTATTTTTTAATTTTTTTTAAATATATTACGATATTAAACCCTAAAAGTTGCGTAGAGTGACGTAATCAGACAACCTCGCTGTAGAGTGACGTAATCAGACAAAAAGTTCCCTTCCATAGTCTTCCGTCCAAATTTTTTTGTAAACCCCTCATTGCCCCTTTGCTTGCGTATGAACAACTATCGATGCACAAGATCGAGATCCCCCCTCTGGTAGCAATTGATCAGAGTTCCTCTTTTTGCTTACAAAACTGGGGAATTCAGAACTCTGTTCCCCTGGGTACTCACTATGGCTGTTGGTCCTTTTATAGCATATTAGGTCTGCACTTCCTGTACCGCCAAACAGGTTCCAGATTAACGTCAACATCCACTATCTGTGTATACAGAGATTCAGAATACAAAGAGTGGACGATGAAGTGATATTACAAAATAGACGGTGAAGTGATTCAGAATACAGTCAATGTTTGCTAGTTTTGTCAAAAAAAAAAAAAAACGCTCCGTTATTCAGTTCGGTGGTTTTCTTTATAAATTTAAAGAATTTCGAAGGCCAAAATGGTCTTTTCATTAATACAGTTAAATATAATGCCACCCCTATTCTGACAAGGGAGGTTTAAGTCGTGTGAAAAGTGAGAGGGTAGGTATAAGTATTTTAGGTCAAACCTCTGGAGGTTCAAGTGTTTGTTGAATCACTTATCCTATAAATACTTATATTTGCGGAAATGACAATTATAGCCCTAATTTAATATAACCATATTGGATAAATACAAAGGCTAATACATAAATACTTATCTCACAATTCAACCTATTTCCACGTCCACCTAGCAACCAACAGTGTGAAGAAGACGGGAGGGAAAGAAAGGGAGAAGTAATTATATGACATTTATGCATCTCAACATATTAATTATAATATAGTTGTTCATATATACTGTTAAAGTAATACATTGTCTACGTATTTATTCATTATTTGTAGTTATTTGATTTTAAATTTAGTGTTATTAATATATTTATGAAATTTATATATGCTTTCCTAGCATTTTCAAGCACTTTCATAATTTTCATTAGTATCCATGCATTTCCAAAGTATATCGGTATCCATATCCAAGTTGTATGATTCGATACTCAATATTGATACTTTAGTCCTTGGTCACAACTAACAACACCACATCCTTTCATTGTAAGTAATCTTCTTACTCACTCAAGACTTAACCCAAAATCAAAGAGTCCTCTCACTCGGTCATCATTCCCACCCGAGAAGTATTTTAGGGAAAAGATGCATGTTAGTAAATAGACATGAGTTGTGGAGATAGGATTGTCAATGAACTACATATTGGTTTTAACCCAACCTGGTCCAATATGAGTCATTATAGACTAGGTCCAATTCAATTTGATGAATATTTTGAACCATTTTGGACTGATCCAATTCAATGTTTGGACCAATCTAATCCATTAATTAACATCTGTACCCTTTATCTTCTGTTAATGGACCAAATATTGGTTCAATGTGACCAAATCCAATATAAATCCAATCCAATAAATACTTTGCAATTTAGACCACTAAATCTCCATTGATCCAATTCAATTAATACGTCTTACTAATCCATCAAACCCAATCAAATTGTCCTTGATAAAAACATTCATCTAATCAGTGTTTTTTGTTGTCGCATGTCTTGTTTCGCATGAGAAAAAAAGTTGTGGGCTTCCTTTCAGATAAGGGAAATTCTACTATTTATATGTTAACCTGATTTTGGGTTTCTTAGGTGGTGTTCAGTAAACTAAAGTCTAAAGTTTGAAAAGCAAATAAACCCTCGAAAAAGCTCTAAAAGCATTTGGAGGAAATTTTGCTTTTCTGCTTTTGCAAACATCTGAATATGGTGGGATTGTTCAGTAATTTGAATGCTGTGACGTCTAAGAAGTTTGTATTTTACAAATTTACCCTTGAAAGTCATTATGTAAATAAAAGTAAAATAAAATGATTAAAGTAATAGGATATTGTAAAAATATTACAAAAATAAAACAAAATATAAAATATGATAAAAATCAATAAATAGTATCAATAAAAATAAAAATAATGTAAAAATGATTAAATAGTAAAAACTATTATAAATATAACAAAAAATAAAACAAAAAAACAATAATGGTAATAAAAATTAAATATATAAAATAGAGCATTTAATGATAAAAATAGTAAAATTGTGTAAAAGATGTCAATAAATGATAAAATGATATAAAAAGAGATAAAATAGCAAAAATTTATGATATAATAATAGTAGCAGTAGTAGTAGTAATAATAATTATAATAATAAGAATAATAAGAATAATAAATTATTACTACTACTACTATTATTAAAGCATTGCTTCACCCGATTAACTTTTTAGTTAATTTTACTTAAGCAGATAAATAATTCATCATCCTCGTCCAAGCCTTATCTCAACCATATTATGTTGACAAATGTGCAGACCATCAGATTTTTGCTTAGCAAAACTGCAATTAACGTGAACTCTTTGAACGCCAACTCCTTAACGGCCTTGGATGTTTTAATGAGAAGTCCAAGAGAACTGAAAGATGTGGAAATCGAAGAGGCCCTTCTTAGTGTGGGAGCTTTAAGAGCTAGGAGTATACCTCCAGCATCAATACGAGACAGAGATACACTCCCAACACCATATGATACTGGATTTACAGGGCGAAGTGATAAGCCCCTGGTCGACCGAAAGAATCCAGACGACCAGGCAGAACAACAAGACACCTCCGAAAATAATGAGACTTTTAAGAAGAAAACGTGGATGGAAGATATGCGCAACACATTGATGGTGGTGGCGATATTGATTGCAACCATGGCCTTTCAAGTGGGAGTAAACCCCCCAGGTGGTGTTTTGACGCTAGACGACATGCTGAAAAATAATGGTGGTAATGCATCTGAACTAGCTCCATCTCCAAGCATTCCTGAAGCAGGCAAGTCTGTAATGGCTCACGAGGACCATATAACATTTCGTCGTCTTTTCCGYTTCAACACAACAAGTTTCGTTGCCTCTCTGAGTATAATTTTATTTATGATAAGCGGATTACCATTCAGTCATAGGTATTTTATGTGGTTTTTGATGGTGATCATGTGGCTTGCAGTCACATCAATGGCTTTAACTTACTTGTTTTCGATATTAGCCTTGACACCACGTACTGTGTTAAAAGAACTGGACCGTCAATTGATAATAGCAGTGAGCACATGGTTGGGCCTGATGACCTTGCTCGTTCTTAGCCATAGCATTCGCTTAACATACAAGTGGATGAAAGGTAAGAGAAAGCAGAGGAAAGGGAGCCACCAGGATTACACAGTTTGATCAATGTTTTCTCCTAGAATTTAAGAAACACTTGTGGAACATATGCATGCATGCATTTATTTATCTCTGTGCTTTGTGTTTTGGCATTAATTGGTCGCTTCTTGAGTCCAGGCATATCTTGTATTAATAATCACTACCCCCTCTGTCCACAAGCTCCTGTACATGTCTCTTCAAATGTTTTTCTTAAAGCATCTTGCTATTTTGAAATGACCATGTTAAACTAATTATATGGTTTTGGAAATCAGCTGGATGTTCCGAGGTAAAATTATAAAATTATGCCTCTTTATGGGAAAATTACACTGTGTTTATTTCGTGGACGAATTCTTTTAATTTGTTTGTCAGAATAGGCCGTTCATTCAAACCGGATGGTCGGACCGTCGACCTGAAAACCGGTGGCCAGAATAGTTCCATTTCTGGGTCATTTCTTACAATGTTGATGTAGATCATTCATAAATGTATATAAGATACATAAAATCAAAAAGTGTGGACTGTCGTACAATTTGTCCACATTTCACATTCCAGAACAATTATAGATTCTGGTATGATATGAATTGGTCTCTACCACAAGGTGTGATGTGAAATAATACATACCTACCAACTTTTCATCTACACTACAAAACACCCCCTTAGTGAATAGATACTTCTGTACTTGCAATAATAGAATTTGATCTCTATTCCCAACAAAAAGTAGCTCTTCTATAAAATATCGCACACACAAGGCATCTTTTGCAAGGTAATATCATAAAAGGCAATTAAACATGAGGTGCATCCACCGTACAGTCCGGATTTCCTACTAACTTCCCTCTACTCCCCTCTCTACTAACCCATTAAAACTATTCCGCCTCACTAAGTCCTATCTAGTATAACGATTGACTAATGCCTTAATTAATACCTTTGTTATATACTATTTTAAAGAAATACCTATTTTTATGCATTCATTAAATAGTTCAAAAAATAAAAATATAATAATTTTGGGTGGTCTGTAACTAGGGGTGCTTGTGGTTCGGGTAACTGAATCGTGGGTCTTTTTTGTGAATCAAATAGGTAGTGGAAAACCAATAATCAGAACCGAATCGAAACTAGTCGGTTAATCGGTTAACCAGTTTGGTCGTTGGTTTTTTTCTGTTTTTATGACTTTATAATATTTATTATAATTATAATAAATATTATAAATATATATAATATTATATTTTAAATAATAAATAATATATAATATATTATAAATATATATTTTATATATAATGCATATTTATTAATTTATAGTATGTAAAATATATATAATATACATAAATATATAGAAAATATATAGAAAAACATATATACCGATAAGTTCAGTTAACCACCGGTTTTTTAAATTGGTTAACCAAAACCAAACTGGCACCTTCAGTTTTTTACAAACACCAAACTAAAACCGAACCAACCAGTTTGATTAACCAATTTTCGGTTTGGTTTTTTCGTTTTTTGCTCACCTCTATCCGTAACTCTTTTTCCATGCATAAATTTGCTTTACTAGGTTTAGAAAAGAAATAAAAATAAAATATCAATTTTAATTATATGCAAATTTCCCATTCTCTCTTTAATTATATGCAAATTAATTCTCTAAGCCTAATAAAACAAATTCATGCATGGAAAAAGAGTTACAGAATACTGACCACCCAAAATTATTATATTTTTATTTTTAGAAATATTTAATTATTGTATAAAAATAGGTATTTCTTTAAAATAGTATCTAACGGATGGGTTAATTAAGGCATTAGCCAATCGTTACGCTAGATAGGACTCAGTGACAGTTGGAATATTTTTAATGGGTTAGTAGAGTTGGAATATTTTTAATGGGTTATTGGAAATGCCTTTGATGCACTTTTTATGACAAAACTGCCCCTCTTCCTCTTTTTCTGCAAAATGCATCGAAAACCCAAAGAAATCTCTCCGCCTTCTCTTCTTGGTAATCGACTGAAACCCCATTCTTCTTCTTCCTAAAGAAATCCTAGTCCTCTCTCTCCAAAATTGAAAATAAACCCTATTATAGCCTTCATTCTTCATATGGAACCCCTGTTCATCTTTTTGTTGCTAATAAACTCCGGCAGCTGCAACTCAAGAGCTTCCACCGAAGAAACTCCCAACGGTGAACTTTTGGGCGTCAGCCTTGCTCATGACGTGAAAACCTGCCCACTTTATTCGTCCACTTGTGCTTGCACCAGGGCCGGTGTTCAAGAACTCCCCATAATACAAAGTGCTTAACGCAAAATCGTCATTCCACTTGAGCCACCCTGTCGGGTCGATCAGGCTATCAAGAGATGTCTTTATGAACACTATCCTCAAGTACTTCTGCCATGGTATATGCATCTAACCAAATATGTATACGTATAGAAAGTATGCATGCATATAAGGTCAGAAAATAAAAACAAAAAAAAAACAAAAAAATTTTGAATTGAACCCAAACCCCGATGGCCAAAAATATCCAAGCCCAGTCCCAAGAAAATTACTTGTTTTGTCAGTTCAGGCTCAGTTTGAGCCCACCCAAGTTACATCCATACGTTTCAGTTCCTTAAAAACCACCAAAACCCTCTTCAAAGTCTTAAAAGAAAGAAAAAAAAAAAAAAAACTATCAAAAGGTTCATCTCATGATGATATTATGGTTTACCAAAACATTTCATCATTTTGGTCATCAGAGACCATAAAAGATTATGGTAAATTATAAATAAGTACCATGTAAGGGAAAGGTAGGGAAACCTTTACAAACCTTATTGGTTTCCCTGACTTTCTCTTCCATTCCCTACCTTTTCCTTTAAACCAAACATAGCCTAAGGTCTTGAACTTTCAAGTGTAACAATCAATTACCCTGGATTTGGAAAATATACACAATTTTAGCACCATTAACTAAAATCATAGTGGGTGGTAAAATTATCAAATTGCCCATTATTTCCTAATTAATTTAAGGTTAATACCACAAAGTTAGGAAAAAATAAGACAAATTACAAACTATTCGCAAGTAATTAAAGGGAATGAATCGAAAACAAAGAACAAGCTATATACTCTGAGCCTGAAATTAGCCCAAGCCTCCAATGATTTGATGTAAATATGTCCACTCATAGAAATTTTAGAGTCAAAAAGAAATTTTAAAACGAAAAGAAAACAAAAATGATCACATTAGGTACATCAATGGAAGTTCCCATTCAATCGGTTCCTTACAAATATACATAAGTATACTACAATAGTTATCTGAACTCACTTCCTCCCAACTCTTAAACTTAATATATTGAGAACCTTAGTACGTAAGTGAACATTAGGAAACAACTCACTTGGGCTGTTTTGGAGTCGCCACCCATTAGTAAAATAAAATAGAGGTGATAGAACCTCAAGGAATGGTTTTCAAAAATATATTTGATTTAATAGTGACTCCAAGACCCAAGGCACTGGCTGAAGTCCAATAGGTGGGGCCTACATGGGATTCTGATGAGCACAAGCACAAATAAAATATTCTTCAATTGACTAAGAAAATATCAACAAAACAAATCAAAAACAAACCATCATGAGAGAATTCCCCTAATTATATTTTTATTATTTATTTATTTCTTATTCTTTTTAATTTAATTTTATATGTTATTTCCTTATGGAGCCTCAATTGATTTTATTTGTTCTATGTAATTATTAACTCAATCTCATATTTCTAACCTTACTAAAATATTTGATTTACTAAGATAGTATCATATGAGACTCCACCTAAGCAAGTGTGCCTTCAATGTCATCTTAGGAAAATTTTTGGAGTTCATGGTAACTCATTGTGGCATCGAGGCAAACCTAGAGAAGATCTTAGCTATTCTGAAAGTCTTTGTAGTGAACTACCCTGGACTATGAAGGATGTGGAGAGGCACACCAAGAAAGTTGTGGCTTTAAATAAATTCATGTCCAATTTTGTGGGGTAATGTTTATCATTCTTCTGAGGTACCAAGAGGCAAAGAAGTACTTTTAGCAGATGGATGAGTGTGAGAGAGTTTTTAAGAACTAAAAGATTACCCCATTTGATTTTATTCATTCTATGTGATTATAAACTGATCATCAATCTCATATTTCTAACCTTACTGGAATATTTGATTTACTGAGACCGTATTATATGAGTTAATAATCGCATAAAACAAACCTAGCATCAAGGCAAACCTAGAGAAGATCCAGGCTATTTTGGACATGGGACCACCCGAGACTATGAAGGATATGGAGAGGCACACTAAAAAAGTTGTCACTTTAAACAAATTATGTCCAATTTTGTGGGCCAACGTTTATCATTCTTTTGAGGTATCAAGAGGCAAAGGACTTTTAGTAGATGGACGAGTGGCAAAGAGTTTTTAAGAACTAAAAGATTACCTTAGCTCACCACCTCTACTAACCCAACCAGAACCCAAGAGGCATGTTGCACCTCTACCTATTAACAAGAGAGGAAGTCATCAATTTGGTGGTAGTACAAGATAAAGATGAAGTTTAAAGGCCAGTTTACTATGTCAATAGAATCCTCCGTACATTCAAAATTAGGTCCCCAATATAGAGAAGTTGTCATTTGCCTTAATCATTTCAACTAAAAAAATACAACCCTATTTTCTAATACATTCCATTGTTAGAGATCAAATCAGCCCCCCACGGCACATCCCCACCGTGTGTTGGGAACATCTCTCGATGATGACATCAGAAATGATGATGTCATCATCGGGAGATGTTCCCAACACACGGCGGGGATGTGCTGTGGGACGTTGTGGGGGGAATCTTGTGGAGGACTGATTTGAACTCCCATTGTTATACTCACTAACTAGACACTTAGGCAATTTTTGTAAAAGCTCGAGGTGTTGACTAGACTAATGAAGTAGGTTGTTGAGCTTAGTGAGTTTAATGTGAAGTTTAAGCCTAGGCCCTCATCAAAACACAAGCCTTGACAAACTTTATTGTAAAGTGTACTTTTAATAGTAGTTGAAAAGCCCAATAGATGGTTCATCTTGTCTAAATAAGCTATCAACCTAGATCTTATATGTTGATGGATCATCTAATAAAAAAGGAGCAGTGATGGTCTAATTCTTTTCAATCTTGATAATATCTTTGTCCACTCTAAAGATTTTTTATCTTCATCTCACTACTTATAATGATTGTGTAGCACAATTAGAATACAAATCACATCCAGATAAGCTTCAAAGAAAATAATTAAAGCCAAAATAAATAGGA